AGGCCCGGCGGTTCCGCTCCCTGGCAGATGCTCCGACCATTGTGCTTTTGCTGTTGCAAATGGAAACACCGCTCACCTCCTCACCTCTCCTCCTCCCCCCGCCAAACAATAAATGCACACCTCTGGGCCCTCGACGCTTCCTGACTCTGCTTCTCTTCTGCAGGTGTAGATCTAGAAGAGGCTGGAAAGGAGGGTGGAAAAAGCAGGGAGGTTATGAGGCTTAATAAAGAAGGTAAGTGGATAGTGCTGGCACACCGCTCTACCTGTCTGTCTCTTGGTGGCTGTGGATGACTGTGGTTTGGCCTTGACGGGGTGGTCTAATAGCATGTGGATCTCTCTGCCGTGAAGAATGTTTCAGGGTTGGATACACGCAGATGACTGTCACCGTGTCAACTTCTTTTGAAGTACGAGTATAACAGGTGTATGCGTGCGACTGACAGGCGTGGTAAAAGATAAGGCGATTTTAAGTCAAAAGACAACTACCCATCAGTGGCCATATTGGATTTTATTTTGAGGACCCTGTCCCTTGGTGCAGTGTTTCACTGGCTTCTGTGTGAAGATAAGCCTATAAACCCGTGCATCGACTTTAAATGTTGTATTACCATTGGTGGCTGTATTGAAAAAACATCTTCACTCACAGAGAGAAACGGTCTGTTGCCATTTTTGAGTTCATGCACTTGAGCTCAAGTCACATCTTATTTTTTCATTCTCACTGCAGAGTGTGACTTAGAATCAACTGAGCGGCCAACGTCTAATATTACCTTACAGTAGGCTAAGCCATACATATTATGCAAAACTAGATATCATAGGTCATTTCGGCCATAAGGTTTTCTGGTACCATAAGTATGAACAGGCAAATTCCAGACTAATGGTATTTGCTAAAACGCTGTGCCTGACACAGTTCTGTCAGTTGTGAGAGGAGAAACTTTAGTGGTAAGCGTAGGCAAATCAAATTTCCACATTTTGTTTGTGACGTGCGTCGTTAACATCATGCTGGGGTAACGCCTGATGGTGAAATGGTTTGGGACATATTTTCATGTAGCTTTCTGTTTGTTTCTGTTCTGTTAAGAAAGCAGTATACGTACACAACCTTTCTGTCATGAGAAATATTTCTTGTGAAGTCAGTTCATAATGAATGATCCCATCATAGTGAAACTTCAGTGTGACTTACTGATGCTGAGAGAAATCCTGCTATTACCTGCAATGTCATTATATATATTCTGAAATGATGTGAAGTTCCTCGTGGTATTATAGTTGTCATTACACGTGTGTTTAATTTTGAGCATCTTGGCAGCTTAAAGGAATCTTATGTTTTCTAAACAAGCTCTGGAAAAAAGAATTAATTAATCAGTAACATAAATTTGTGTGATAAACTATAGAATTGCATGGAGTACACACTAAATAAAATTATTTAAAGTAGTGTAAAACTTCCCTTTTGAAAGACCTTTCTAGAGATGCCAAGCTTGATTGTGTTCCTGTCTTGATTCTTACGTGCCTGAACCTCTCTATTTTGCCAGCCCAAAAATAAGTTAGAGGCTAAACTGGGATTTTCACGTAGTGTATTTATAGGAAAAAGGTTCCAGACCCAAACAGTTTGTATGTCTATCAGTAATGTTGAGCGTCCATTTGATTCAAAAATAATCAAACAAAAATCTTGCTACTGGAGCTTGGCCTTCATAAGGACCTTAATTTGTTGAGATAAAATGTTTTGCGCCTAGGAGTCCTTGAACACAAATTCTTATTATAAGCTTACTTGAGACATAAAGATCGAAGCGTGTCCCTACTCCTTAGTCACACATAGTATGCAAATTGTTTCCTAGAACGATTCAGTGTAGATTATCAGCTCTAGTCTGTCCTTGT